CCGGGGCTCTCCCCCTCTCCCGGGCGGGTCCCTCCCGGCCCGCTGCCCTCTCGGGGTCCCTCCCGGAGCCGCCCCCGGAGCCCGCGGCCCTCCCGGAGCCCGCGGCCCTCACGGACCCCGCGCTGCCTCCGGCTCCGCGCGCGCCGCCCCCCGCGCATGCGCGCCCGCCGCCGCGCCAACGGAAGTGAGGGGCGAAACCGGAAGTGGCGGCGGCGGAAAGGCGGGGAAGGGGCCGGTAACGGTTCCGTGAGGGGGCGTGGTCAAAGGGGCGTGGCAATGCAAATGAAGGAGGCGTGGTGGACCAATCGCTGTTAGGGGCGTGGCTTAATTAAAGGTTGCTGTGGGAGTGGTCTAGTGAGGAGGCGTGGTTATGCGATGGCCACGCCCCTCACCGCGCGCCATGGCAACGTGGGCGGGGCTTCGCTGCCGGGCCGGGGGTTTCCATGGCAACCGGGAACAGCCGCGGGGTCCCCCCCTCCCTCCGTAGCAACGGGGAGGGAACAGCCCGTCTCGTTGCCATAGCAACCAGGTTGCCACCCCCCCCCCCCCCCGTGGGACACCCCGCGTGGTTTCCACGACAACGGAGAAAAAAAAAGTTTAAAATAAAAACCCAAAATCCAAAATTTTCAATCACGTCGCCACGGCAACCGGGATGTTCCCCCTCCCTCATCCCTACACAGGTCACACCCCCCCCCCCCCCCCCCCCCCCCCCCCCCCCCCCCCCACCCCCCCCCCCCCCCCCCCCCCCCCCGGGGTTTTTTCCCCCCCCCGTTAGCCATGGGGGAGGGGCGACAGCCATTCCCCGCCCCTCTCCCACCCCCCAAGGGATGTCCCTCCCCCCCTTGGGGACACTCGGTGACCCCGGGTGGGGGAGGACCCGGTGTCCGGTCACTCCCCTAGGGATGTCACCCCCCCTTGGGGACACTCGGTGACCCCGGGGGGGGGTGGGGGAGGACCCGGGTGTCCGGTCAGCCCCCCCGGGGGTGTCACCCCCCCTTGGGGACACTCGGTGACCCCGGGGGGGGGTGGGGGAGGACCCGGGTGTCCGGTCAGCCCCCCCAGGGTTGTCACCCCCCCTTGGGGACACTCGGTGACCCCGGGGTGGGTGGGGGAGGACCCGGGTGTCCGGTCAGCCCCCCCAGGGATGTCCCTCCCCCCCTTGGGGACACTCGGTGACCCCGGGGTGGGGGAGGACCCGGTGTCCGGTCACCCCCCCCCCCAGGGATGTCCCTCCCCCCCTTGGGGACACTCGGTGACCCCGGGGGGGGGTGGGGGAGGACCCGGTGTCCGGTCACCCCCCCCCACCCTCCCCCCCCCCGTTATTTTTAGCGCGGGGGGGAACCCGACACCGCGGGGCCACCCTGTCACCCTGTTTACGGGACAGCGGCGGTGACAGCGGGACGGCGGGCCGGGGACACCCGGTGACAGGGACAGGGGCCGGGGACACCCCGTGGTGGCGGGGGTGGGGGGGGGGTTGGGGACACCCGGGTGACGTGGGGGGGAGGGGGCACCCGGGGACAAGGTGGGGGGGCAACCCCTGGGGACAGCGGGGACACCCCGGGGACAGCGGGGACACCCCCGGGACAGGGTCAGGAGGGGTGGGGACACCCCCAGGACAGCGGGGACACCCCCGGGACAGCGGGGACACCCCGTCGACAGGGTCGGGAGGGTTGGGGACATCCCCGGGACAGCGGGGACACCCCGGGGACAGCGGGGACACCCCGGGGACAGGGTCGGGAGGGGTGGGGACACCCCCAGGACAGGGTGAGGAGGGGTGGGGACACCCCCAGGACAGGGTCAGGAGGGGTGGGGACACCCCCAGGACAGTGGGGACACCCCCAGGACAGGGTCAGGAGGGGTGGGGACACCCCCAGGACAGCGGGGACACCCCGGGGACAGGGTCAGGAGGGGTGGGGACATCCCCAGGACAGGGTGAGGAGGGGTGGGGACACCCCCAGGACAGCAGGGACACCCCCAGGACAGGGTCAGGAGGGGTGGGGACATCCCCAGGACAGTGGGGACACCCCCAGGACAGGGTGAGGAGGG